ACTTGAGGCAGTGGATGATCCTGGTTCTCCTACCTGCCATTGTGCCATTGTACTCCCTTGTGTGTGTGGTGATGAGCTGCACAAGCACACGGGCTATACCACATCTGTTCTCATTGCATACTTCTTCAGAGTATAATCATGTTGAAGCTAATAACTCTCTGTCTTTCACTTCCTCTCAGGAACATTTAGCCCTCAAGGATTCTATGAATTCCAGTGACCTCTGGTACTCTACTATCAGCCATGATGTAAAACATGAAGCCTCTGTGATTAACACTCATAATCAGACAGAATATGCACTTGTCAACATGCGCAAGAGGAAGGAAGATTTTGCCTGCACTGAAGAGCACAATGAATACGATTTTGTCCTGATAACTTAGAAAGGGACACTTCCTGCTCCCAAGGCACTCTTTTCTTGAATGCTTAAGCCAGCACTATGCAGCCTTGCTAACTATCCTACTTCTCCTGTCAGGACTCCACATAAACTTCTCTCTCATGTTACCAAGCTTACTGCCAGTCATTTCCAATGACAAATCTGTCCAGGAAAAGGTTGTCATAGAGAGACATGGACAGGACTTTACAATTCAACCAAAATGAATCAGTGGCAATTGCCGCTGTCAGACAATGTTTCTCTATTGAAATTTAGGTGCTTCATTACTAGAAGCAAATCAGGCTGCACATTCTTCTGGACTTCTACAGTCTTTTTTTTTTTTTTTTAGAAGAGATCTTACAGAATTACTGATAGAAATTTTAAAAATGCAAAAACACCACTGCTTTTTTGTTTGGTTGGGTTTTTTTGGGAAAAGGTTAGTGTTTTGGCGTTTTAAATGAAATCATAGTCCCTGTGTTAGGTGCACTTTTCCAAAGCTTCTCTGGACTGCTTGATACATGCCATTATACAATGTATAATTCATATGAATAACTCATTTCCCAAATTGCTCTCCCCCCCTAAAGTAATACTACTTACCTTAGAGTGAAGTCTTAATGAAGTTGGAATTAAATAAAAAGCAAGACTGCACACAAAACAAACTTCTGGCCACTTGGAAGGCTATGAAACCTGATTCTGCACAGATGATAACTTCACACCTCTCGTTAGAAGACTCCCAGATGTGGCCCCGGTGGCACAACTCTTCCAGCTTACTCCTGCTGCAGTCTCAGTTTTGGCTCTCTGCAATACCAGAACATAACCTCCCCGTAGTCCACCACCCCTCTGCAAACAGTACTTCTGCACACATGCATAGAATTGAAAGCAGTTACTTGACTGCTCACAAAAGCTCATAAGGTGATTATGTGCTTGTGTTCTTGCTTAAGCATTTTTCTTTGCTCCCTCCATTTTTGTAATAAAACAAGTGGGAAGAAAATGTAGAACAGTTTTCCTGAGTTTAAAACTTCCTTTGTAGGGCATGTAGTGATAGGATGAAGAGGCATGTTTTTAAGCTGAAAGAGGGTAGATTTAAATTAGATTCTAGAAATAAATTCTTCACTGTGAGGGTGGTGAGACACTGGCACAGGTTGCCCAGAGAAGCTGTGGAAGCCTCCTCCCTGGAAGTATTAAAGGCCAGTTTGGATGGCCAGTTTGAGCAACCTGGTCTAGTGGGAGGTGTCCTTGCTCACAGTGGGAGGGCTAGAACTATATGTTCTTTAAGGTGTCTTCCAGCCCAAACCATTCAATAGTTCTATGCTTCTGTGTGATTGCTGGCTGGGCTGTAGCCCTGGCTTTAAGGTGTGGAGCCTTTGCAATGCCCACCTGCGGTTTTGGTGCTGGGGGCAGTCCCAGGGGTGAATGCTAGCATGCAGTGGTGGAGAACCACTGCAGTGGGAGGCACCTGAATCTGCCTAAAGTCTGTACTGGCTACACAGATTTTACACAGCCTGCCATAGGATTTTAGAGAGCTGGTTGTACACTCCACAAGCTGAATTACCAGAACTCCCTTCTTTTCCTTTATAACAGAGTCTCAGTCGCTAAAGTTATTACCTACACTTCCACTAAAATTAACATTAAGCACTCACAAAAAATATCTAACTTGATGAGGTGAGGGTATAAATAATTCACCTGGTTATCTTCTTTTACATGATCAATTTACCTCAAAGATATAAAACCAGAAACCCATTTTGTCATTTTTTACATTTTCTTCAATGAGAGTTCAATGCTTGAGTGGTGGTAGACTGCAAGGTCAGATATTTTCTGTTGAATATCATGACATCTTGCTGCAACTCCTCCTTCCCTGCAAATTGTTCAGGTAAAGGTACAGAGGCAGAGAAGGATAGCTGGAAAAAAAATGAATGCTTGCCTCCTTCTTTTGTCTATTGACTCCTAACGCCCATAGATGTATCACCATAGAATGGCATAATCATTATATTCTTTTCCAGTTCTTAGAATCAAGACAAAGAAGTGTTCAAGGGCAGGTTCAGTCATCTTAGTAAGAGCAATAAGATCAAGCAGGATCTCAAAGGCAAATTATTTCTTTTCTTCTGGTATGTTCATAGACTTCTGCTTTTGGGACAAATCATGCAAATTATTAATTTTATTCTTCCCCAGTGCAGGAATCAGAAGGAATACCTCTTCTAGTTGTGTGCTGCATAGAATATTGGGTCAAGAGAAATTATGGTTCTTACATCCAATGCTAAATCTTACAAATCAAGATGGAGTCAGCATTAGACACAAGTATGACTCTTATGTGAACTACTAATTTGGTCAAGGCTGTTTCCCAAGCTCAGTTAAAACTCAAGCAACAACAAATAGAGATTTGAGTGTACAGTTGTGACCTACAGACTCTTCATACAACTCTCAGCATTTAGAATTCCAATGGTTATTTTCCAACTCAAACAGCTGAAAGACTGGAACTGCTAAAGAATGAAAACAATCACTTTAAGAGTAAAAATAAATAATTTAATGTATGGTAAAACTGACAGATTACTCCTTAAATAAACTAATAACATTAGAAAAAGAGAAACACAACTTCCCATATTTCTCACAATACAAAAAGTTTCTTAAAATACATGTGTCTGTCCAACATTTTATAACATTTATACTGGCTATGAACAAATGACAAGAAGCTATACTTCACTAACATGGTAGTGAATCCATTCCATCCCATGGAAAGTTGATGCTAAATTTTTGTTTTTCCTGGTATAGCCAATTACAGGCTATATCCCTCATGCCACACTGGCCTACATGGTCTGATCCAGCATCTTCCTCTTGGCATTGGTCCATCTCATCTAATTTCTTGTCTACAAGAACTATTTGCTGCCTTATTAAGGCAAATAACTTGCAGCTATTAATTTTTACCCCCACTGCTAGGACAGGGACTATAATTAAGGACATAGACGAGTTTCTCTTAAATTTACAAATGCAGGTCAAATAGCTGTCTACTCACTAGTACCAGTAGCTAATTACTAAAGTGCACAGCTAATTTGATCCTTGAAGATTCCTGTGGCATTCAGATGCATTAGTGAGTAAGACATGTTTCTTCCTGATGTTTCTTCCCTCATTTCTATTTCATGTTATAGAACAGAAAAACAGAATAGATAACACTTTCTCCAGGAAGACTGTAAGATGAACAAGAAAGGGAATATTGAAAGTTGAAGCATGTTTAAGAAGCTGGTGCAAAGGTCTTGCATGCAATTAAAGAAAACAGAGGATATTTAAGTTTTCAGGCTGTTTTATGAAGAAAGAATAGTGAAGCATGGTATATGAAATAAACAGGCATAAAAGTAACAGACATGAGCATGGCTGGAAGTGAGCATTAAGGATGAAGCTGTGTAGATAATTTTGAATAAGTCAAGAAAAGCAGAAAGGAAACACATGCAAGACTGTTTTTAATGCTCATGCAGGGAATCCAGATTTAATCATAAGGTAAGACAAAGCAGAAGTTTCATAGTCCACAGAGCATGCATCAGACAAGATGCATAATTTTCACAAGAGGTTAATGAGTTATAGTTATTGAGATAACAATAAAGGAGGTAGCGGTGTTACAGAAGTAAAACACTGTTATAAATATACCACGTTTTCCATTTACAATATTGCATCACACACAGTATTTACAGGACAACATTTTTAGAAGTGTTTCTACCTAATGAATAGTTCCCTACCCTGGGATTCTAATAGGCAGCAGAAGCCCATCTCTTCTAGACAGTGAGGAAGATAAGAAGTCTTTCCATCATTTCTCTGAAAGTTAAAACAGTACATTATTAGCATTAAAATGAAACTTTAGTTAGAGAGTTCAATATATTCTTTCCTGTCCCTTTTATACTGTATTTTCTATGAATCCTATCAATATATTATGAACAAAACGATGTACCAAGAACAATTAGCATGAGCTAATCGCAAATCTTACTTATGCAGCTTGAATGTTGATGTGTTAGCCTACAGCTGTATTTTGCAAGTGGCTTGGTAAGTTGGGTATGGGGGGAAACAACTCCATAGATTGTTTTCAGTAAAACTGCAAAGCTCACAAGACTTTTATACTGACATTTCAATCAAGACAAATCTAAATGCACTGGAATCGCTACCTAGTCACTGGTAGTTATTGGAATCACTACCTAGAAAACCTGGAAGAAGAAACATCTCTGTGCATAATAAATTTTCCCTAAAAACTCTGAAAAGACAAAAAACAGGAGGCATTTTCATCCTTGACTGTGAACCAGAAGTTCACCCCCAAATTACTTACCCTGTTTTAGTTGGATTAAAATGTGTTTTACAAGCGTTCAAATATGAATAAACAATAAGCAGAAATATTTTTAATTATTTGGCTCTCTGTTATGGTACACACACAAGGAGATCATAAAATGCAAGAGGAGATCTGAAAAGCTTGGTTGAAGTCTGTAGCTAATCAGTGCCATCACTACTTCCTTTCTCATCAGAAGGCTACACAGTGAATCCTAGGTTATAAGCTAAGAACAGTAGGACTGTCTTGAAAACCGAGTATTTTATGATGTTCTTAATATTATTGTGCAAAATATATTTGCTAACAGATCTCCACATCTTCCCAGAAAGATTTCCCTTACTTCAAGTAAATACTTCTGCTCTTCGTAAACAGTCTCTTTAATGTATAGTACTTACATGTTAATTTGAGAGAAGTCGGGTCAAACATTAACCTGTTACATTCAGATGTCCCAGGATCATCTTCATCATAAATATTTTGACGTAAAACATTCCTTATAAAATCCGGGTTCATTGTGTTTTCCATAAACCCCTCTGTTGATGGTGGTACTAAAAACTTTAGCTGATAATGCACAGTGGAGCTTTCATTACTGAAAAACAAGGTCAAGTATTAATGTCTTCCAGTCCTCATTGGATCTTTTCCTTTTTGAGAAGGCTGACTTTTCATATCAATGTTGACATGGATTTTTAAAAAACTTGTTCTAAAGAAAAAATTCCATTTTTCTACTCCCTCTCCCTTCTCAGAGCAGCTCTTGACACTGAAAGGAACACATATACTTGAAGCCAACCTGAAATGTATTTTCAAATGCACAGCGGGCAATTGCACATGTGTCATTTTGGGGTGAGGTTTTGAACACTCATGCTTCACAAGTACGTGAAGAGGTGCTAGATAAGAGGTGTGAGAATGATCCATCCACAGGTTAGCTGAAAAACTGCAGAAAGAGTTTCTCTCTTGCTGGCAATACCTGGGGCCACCCAGCTGTGCCCCTAACTCAGCTGTGGAGTGGTTTACACAAAGCACAAAACTGGAGTCCATCTCTAGAGATTTAATTATTTATGGTCTAACAAATCCGCTGACTACAATTTGACAGCTACATTTTGTACTCACAGAATTCAAAACATCAAAAAGTTGTTTGGTGGGGAAAAAGAAAAGGAGACACTGAGAGATGTACAAAAGAGAGAGAGAGAAATCAGGTCGTCAGCATGTATGCAGAACTGCAGCTTTGTATTTGATGGTCTAAATAATAATTTTAACCCACCCAGCTAAGGAGCCACAGTTCAGTCACTGACCAGCGGCAGCATTCCCAAGGCTGGCAGTGCAAGGCAGCACATTCCCTGAAGTGCTCTCAGGACTGCTCCTTGCCACAGCCTAAGGAGGAACCTTCCTCTGTCCTTGGTCTCTCAAGAGCCTTGGGACTGTGCAAATCTAATTTCCTTCATTTTCTCCTGTCTTTCTAGTCCCTTTTATAACAGTGGCTTTTCAGAAATCCTTGGGTCTCTGACCATCTTCCCTTGTCTCTTGCTATCTCTCCATGGCAGGATCACTCTGTAGCTGAGCATTCCAGCTCTACTTTTCTCTCTGCTGCTCAGCCTCCCTACTGTGGCAAATCTGTGGTGTCTCCATAGATTGAAATTTTACAGGTTCAAGACAGTAAACTCCTAAGCCTTCCTCCAGTCCTATTATCTGCCAAGAGTAAGATCCACTCTCTGTTCCAGCTTGAAGCTTTCTGTTGCCTCTGCAAGGAAGGGCTGGATGCTTTTCCCCTTCTTCCTACCACTGCTACTCCTCTGGCTACACCAGCCTTCAGTGGCTGAGCTTCTCCTTCACGTGTCTCCCACCCAGGTTAGCCTAACCTCCACTCTGCCACTTGCTCTGTCTCTCACTGCTTTTCCACCAGTCTCTCCAACATACTACTGCTTTGAGATTTGCTTCTGTTGTCCAAAATAAAGTGAGGGGGGGAAAGTGGTCCAAACAAAGCAGCAATGTAATGTTGCTGTTTTGGCTCTCACAACTTCTGTCCTTGCTGCCTTTAGCTCCTTTGGGAGCAAAACAGTTCTGCCCTCCCCATGAACCCTGTGTCATCTATTTAAGGCTATTTAAGCCATGTCAGTCTCAAGTGGTTTCAGCAGCTCATTTTCCTTTTAATAAATATCCTTGAATATGTTTATTAAGGGTTGCCCTTGGAATCAAAGACAATGTTACCTCACAGTAACAAAACGTTACTGTATGCTATTATATATTAATAGCAGTACTTGCCATTTACACCAGAGGATGCTCTGACTCGTTTTCACTACCTATATGAGTAACTTTCCCCAAAACCGCCCATTTTTCACAGATTTAAATGTTGTGCATATTTACACAGGCGCATTTATGACTCATAAAAACCTGAAATTTTATGATCATTTTGGTGACAGAAATAGCTTACCTGAAATTAATCAACTGAGCTGACCTAAAGTAGCGTCCTAGAGCTGGAGATGAACTGTAGACATCTGTTAACTTGGGGAGAAAATAGAAAAGATAAAGGAAAAAAAAAAAAATTCCATTCTGTCACTCTTTTCCTCATAAAAGAAAGCACAGTAAAAGATTCTTACAAGGTGCTTTAAGGGACATAAACACAGGTGCTGAAGGTCAAACCTCAGCAAATATATGCCCTGGAAACAGTACACAATCCTTTTAGCTTGACAGACAAGTTAATCTTTACCCCCTTCCTGGCAGTGTTCAAGGCCAGGCTGGATGGGGCTTTGAGTAACCTGGTCTAGTGGAAGGTGTTCCTGTCCATGCAAAGGTATTGGGACTAGATAATCTGTAAGCTCTCTTCCATCATTCTGTGATTCTGTCATTCTATGATTCTATGAAACTAGGTGTGTGAGTGATTACTGTATTACGTTAACACAATGGAGGCATTCAAGGTGAAATGGAAGTGTGTGCTCATGTTGCCACGTGCAATTTATGTTGTTTGGCTTGGTTTTTTATTACTACCAAAAAACCTTTCTACTCTTACTTGGTAGAGAGCAAGTTCACTCTACTGAGACTTCCTTTCCACAGTAAGTCTAAATGAGCATGGTCATGCCTGCTGAGCTTGTTTCAGCTGTTATGCAGGGTTGTGATGGCTCAATGGAAATGGCAGCTACAAACCCAGGCTGCCTTCATGTACTTATAGAGGAATGCAATGCACAAGATTTTTTTGCAGCATTGGGTTTTGATGACCTTTACAGGCCCCTCCTTACACAAATTATTCAATGATACTATGAAAAATGTGAAGAAGGCTATGTTCCAATTATTATTCAAATTTGGGGGAAAAAAATCAGGCACTTTTTTTTTTTTAAATAAATGTGAACTTCTTGCATGCTCAAAAGCAGACAATTATTTTTCTAGATTGTGACTTAAAATTATACTACAAAAAGTACAACTCATATTTTTTTGTGGACTTACAAATTACTGAGTTGCTGAATCTATGTTACAAGTAGAATCAGCTTTGCCAAGAACCACATCAACACATACCCTGTTAGTAATAATGTCTTCAGAGAAAAGGTGTGGGAGATGACATATTAACTCCAATGTTCCTGAAAAATTGTGAAAATTTCCACTACTTAGTAGTGCTTCAGAATCCCAGTAGTCATCCTCATCGGTGTAAACATCTAACATAGAAAATGAGGTAGAAAGGGGGGAAAAAGTTCCAGTTAGCAGATGGGTTGGAAAAAAAGCTCTTGGCTTCCATGTGGGTGGCTTTCTCACAAATTTCCTTGGTAACTACTGACAGGGAGTGACAAAAAGAAAGTGCAAGTCACCTGAAGGAAAGTGACAGCACAGGGAGGTCAGTCACCCTCCCCCATTAGTGAAAGTCAGCTGCTTTGGGAGGCACCAACAGCACACACAGGGACAAAAGTGATCCATGACACTTGTTGCAATGTTACAAGCATAATTTCCATCCTCATTCCTGACTCTCAAAATATTTTCTCACTTAGCTATAAACTGGGATTGGCATGTTTTCAGGTTAGAAGTTGCTTGCTGCCTGCTAAAAATAAAAGCATTCACATCCACTACTCAACACAAGCAAGCAGCTTCCCAGTCCCTTCAGCAGTTTACAGAAAGAGTGAAAAGGATGCTGTTGTTAGATTTGTGTTACATTGGATTGTACATAATGTACATTTTTGTTAGAGGATGAACCAAGAGCGAAATACTTACTAGAATAAAGAACTAGGCTGATGAGAATGACCAGGAAGAATACTAGAAAAACTGTGGTTATAACCATCCATAGCTTACACCTCCAAAAAACTACATTCCCACATGATTTCCAGTGATCGCTCTCCTAGTTACAAAAGGAAGGGACACGTTGATTAATAAGGTGGAGAAAAATATTCAAACCTGTCTCTGTTGTAACATTTAGAAACAAAAAACATCACATAGATGGGAGAGTCTCATTGGTAAACAATGCCCTACATCAGCAGTTCCCACCCCTAAGTATGGCTACAGCTGGCTTGCGAAAGGCAAAGGACATTTACAGACAGACTGCTGCTTGAAAGAGATCTGTCATTCCCCATTTGTGCAGGATTTCCAATTCCTGAATTGCCCATAAATCTAAAGTTCTACAAAGGTGCTTTCATGGCTTCAAAATTTTGTTTTAAACTACATAGATTTTATTTGCTTTTTCCACAAGGTGTCTTTTTAATGTTTGCCATCTCTCACAATCAAAAAGGTGTCTGTGGAGGAATTTCCAAAATCATTCACCTCTGAGACGATGACTATATCAGTCTCTTTAGCTCCTGGGTGCCAGAACCCAAAGGAAGTGAATTGCTATAAATTATAAACTATTGCATTAAAAAACACTGTAAAATAATGAAGACTTTTACAGCTGGCTCCCTTTTTTCTTGAAGACTGGAAACTTGAAGGCTATTAAGCCTTCATTTAACAGAAAGTTTATTACAAATATTGCCCGTTCTAATAGATCACAAGGAAACTCTTTTCAAATAAATTGTGCAGGTGTGTATGTTTACATAGGAGAGAAAGGACAATACCTGACTTTCATTTATTTTTTAATAAGATTTAGCATAGCAGAAATTAGTGTTTTAATAGTTACCACAGCTGTACTAATATATATATTTTTAAAAACCCAACACACAAAATTAACCCTAGGTGATATAACAATACAAATTAAAACCCCTCCAACTATTTTACTCCACAGCCAGAGGACTGAAGGAAGGGCATGAATTCATAAGAAAGTAGACCATTACACCTTTTTGATTCCTCCTCCTCCCCATCACTGTAAAACCAGCTTTCAACTCCGTGTCCCTTTTGCCATCAGTACCAGGTAAGGAAAAGCACGTGCTTTAGGTTGCCTGGGCCACATACATGCAGGTTAGCAGGAACCAGCTGCTGGCTGGAGGCACTAACCCAGGTTACCTTCCTACACTTTTTGAACCTTCTAAGAACCCAGCATAACAGAAAGCCTTTCACAGAGTTTAACTGACATCCACCAGCTGGCTTAAGCTTCTTTGGGGGTGGCAGATGAGCACAGGAGAAAACAGACACTCACAGAAAGATCTTACAAGAGTAATTTTTCTGGGGAGTGGGGAAAGGCAGAGAAAGGGAAAGCTCTCTCTGCAGACATCCCTGCACACTGTACTTTGGTTCTGAGAGGGAACAACAGGCAAAAGCTTACTATGGTTTTATGGTTTCACTTACAGCATGCTTACAGGTGTGGTCATGTTTACATATTTTTTGGGTTTCTGTTTGTTTTTCAAAGTGTATTAGAAAAAATAAGCTTCAATGTAATACTTAACACTAGCATATAGTTTTATATCTGAAAATAAAAAATAAAAAAAAGGCAGTAACTACTGTCTACAGTACAATTACAAAATCAGAGATAGTAATACCAGTTGAGACAGTTATCAAAATCAAGTTTCAATTGAGCCATATATTTAGACCATTGCAAAAGTGTGATTCTTCATCACACACAGCAGACTGGCCTGATCTCGAGCAAACATTCAACTCCCCAACTATTCCCTCCCAGCTGAACCAACACCTTCTGGACATCGCAAGCCTGGTGGGAGTGAACAGCAGCAGAGAAAAATCTCCTCCCTGTGAGCAGGACTGTCCTTCTGATTAAACTGCCTCATGAGCAGGAAGCAGAGCATGGTAGCTTTCCAGCAGTCCCTATAGGATAGGAAGCCAATTACCTGAGTCAGGAGAAACAGAGCCCAGTTGAAAGCTCAGTTCTGGAAAGGAGAAGGCTAAACAGAAACTTCAGGCTAAAGTTTCTCAAGACAGCTGAGCAGATCTAGCTCACCCCTGCCTGTTCTCCACCTTCTCCTGTTCCTCTTTGCACCTCCCGAGAATTTGTCTGACCCTGCAGCAAGTTGGTTCAGCGTAACCAGACCAGATGGCCCTCAATATAGCAGAGTAAATGGGGGTTTTGCCTGGCAGGAGGAATTAATCAGCCCATGGAGATGATCAGCAGGGCCCACACAAGGAAGCAGTCACTGTTGCTTGGGCGGGAGCAGGAAGGGAGGGGTGGTGTGACTAATGCAGCCAAGCTCCCGTGAGGGCTCAGCCATCCCTACAGAAAAGTGGAAAACTTCTTTTCTTTACCACAGATATGACCTCTGCTCTGGAGAAAGCAATGAAAATCATTGCACAACAGTCACTTGCTGTGAATCTCTATACTACTCCTCTGCCAGCATTAGCCTGTTCCATAACTTTAAGCTAAATGCTGCGAGCTGCTTCCCTCAGGACTCACAGGCGTTAACTAAGGCTTCAGGACACTCCATACAAATTCGTAATTGTAAGCAGCTGCAAATTGCTCAAAGATAAAAAGAGACAGAAGCTGTTGTAGGACATTCTATACTTGTTTTGGTAGTGCTGTTTTCTGATTAGTTTGTTCTGAAAGAAATCCTGATTTTAATATGGGTTTTAAATTTTCTCCTTTCTGGTTTTGAGCCCAATCTCCCTGAGAGCACTTGACAAGAGAAAGCAAAACACCAAGTACCAATTACAACTTCATTTCCTAAGTTAAAGTTCACAAATAGCCAAGCACCAAAAAATATTTTAAAGAAGCATAAAACCCCACTCCAATATTAAAATACTTCTTTCAAAGAAGAAAATAAATATGTTTAACAAGTTTTCAGCCTTTACTTTCCTGTGAACCACATTTCCCTCTCCCACAACCTACAAATTAAACCACTCTTACTGATGTTCCCACGAAATGTATCATTTCTTTTGCTGTGTGCTGTTTTTCACCAACAGCAAGCATCAAATGAGCAAATGAAATTCCTACCTTTCTCGTTTCAACGTTTAGAGGCTTGTCATGATCACCCTCATTTTCTTCCACATGATCTTCACGTAATTCAATAATCTCATGCTCCTGGCCAGAATTTTGCCTTTTCATAGCTTCTTTCTCTGCACGAGGACCCCTGCCTCCGAAGCAAGCACGGAGGCAACTCATTTCCTTCTGGTTTCAGCAGCAGATGTGGTCAGCAGCAGTTCTGGTATGAGGCTGGAGATGGTAACAGTGAGAGTTGGGATAGTTTTCACAGGAGTGATCTCAAAACACTGATAAATGAGGAGAATTCCTTGAGAGGAGAGATAATGTCGTCTGCCCTAGCTGCAGAGAAATGTGAGGCGGAGGAAGTATCGATTTGCCCAGCTGCCAGAACTAGAGCCCTCAGCTCTGCAATACTAGGTTTTCCAGTTTGGCTGCCTTACTGTACCAGCCCTTGACAAGCACAAGGTGACTAAACCTTCAGTAATGCTGTCATTTGCTGAGGCAATTTTAAAAGGAACCAGGTTGGTTTCCCTGCTCCCGTCAGCCAAAACAGTAAAATACTATTGCTACAATCCATACAGATAAACAAACTGATGTGGTTCTGAACAGCATAAATTGAAAAAAGGATCACATAGCCTGGGGTTCGCTTAGGCTGTGAAGGGAATGTATAATATACATCTACATTTCTAATTTTAGTCTCCCTGTATAGTCAATGAAGAAATGAAACCTACTGACCTTTGTGCTGCAAATTTTACACTGTCTAGGAATTATGGAGCCTATAATAATGTTTGGTGCTAATGAACCATTTATGTCTATTCACATACTAACCAACCTAAGCCTGAGAAGCCGCTTCCATGTAAAAAAACCTAAAAGACAAAGCTGAAGAGAGGAGGAAGGTGGCCTTCATTTTCAGGCTGTGCTCTACAGGGCATGCTTTTATTCAGGAAATAATGGTGTACACTGAGATCTGGTCTGCACTAGCTTCCCGAATGAACTCTCCCATGCTACTTACATGAGTCACTCATTAAACTTATCTCAGCCTGAGGCTAATTCCTCTCCCTAGTCCCCCACTCTCCTTCATCCTACCATCTCTCATTTGTCCTGTTCAGACTCCATCCTCGTGTTTCTCCTTCCTCCACACAGAGCACCTCTCTCCTGTCCGGATCAAAAGGGTTGCCCAGGCAGCCAGTAACCACACTCTTGCTCACTCTCCTGTCCCAGCACAAATAGGATCATGCATTATGTGGACAAAAAAGCAGTTTTCTCCAACCCCCTCCCTTGCTGGCTGAGCATCCACCCACAACACTGCTCCTTCTTTTTCCTGCCAAAAGCTGAGGATTCTTTTACCCCCTTCAGATTTTACTGTTGTGCAACACATCTGACTGCTGATGCCTGGAACATTGACAAGAGCTCAGATTCCGCATGACATGTCTCAGCCTTCCAGGCAAAGGCACTTTATCAAGCTGAACACACAGCTTGACTTCATTCAGCAACTAAAAAGAGCCCCACCTTTTGGTTCTGGAGAACCCTTAAAACTCCAGAGGATGGAGGATGAAGTTGAGCAGTCATCAGGATCAAAACGTGTCTGTATCCATAAGATTTTGCCTGCAATGTCTTAACTAGAAAAAAACCTTCACCCACTGGTTCCCAGTACTCCTGTTGGAGATTAGCTTCATTCATGTCATTTCCACTCACAGTAAAAGACCTTACCTTCCCTTCTGAACTGTCTGAAACCAAAGCAGCTTTTCTGAGTCAAATGAGTTAATGATTATGGATCTCACCCAGAAAAAGCCAAAGTCCATCAGTGAAGGAGCTCCTTACAAAGTCTTGAGGTTCTTTCTTCTGGGTGATCCAACATCCACACTTGCACATGAACTAACTGACCCTTCTGACACACGGAGCTGAGAGACTCTCAAAAAAAACGGGAAGTTGAAAACTGATCTGATCTTTCTGACCTAGGCTTTTATCTAGAACAGAACGTCGGGAAAAGAAAACTGTTTTCTTTGCTAGTGAAGACATCTCTTGTTTCAATATAAGGAAAAGAAACTTGTGCCCTTAAATGTGCGCTTCAGGAAACAGGCAAGTTAGGCTTAGAAAGAGGAAAAAGAGGAAAGTCCAAGGTTCAAGTGTAGCTCTGGTTGCACCTGAGGATTAGGATTTCAGAGGCACCATCAAATGAATAAAACATAGCTCTTGCATTTTTTAGCGTGTGTTTATTGAAAAAAGAAGATGTGAATGACTGACTAGACTTTAAAGATAATAACCCCCTTAAAATATAGGCTTTGAGTATAGCTTGTGTAATAAATTTTTCATAGGCCAGGAGACAGCCCAGAAAGGAATGGTCATCCAGTGGCAGCATAACTGGAGACTGAATTCATCTCAGCTTTGTCAATTATATTGATCATAGTACTTGACTTTTCAACACGTATGAAATAATAATTTATGTTTAGAATCCTGCAACATGTCTAAGGTAACATGTATGAGTTGAGTATATATGGGATATGGCCATGAATATCCAGGTTGTGTATGTAGAAATAAACACATATCTATTATATATGGACATATACACATAGCAAGGGAGATGGAAGGAGGGGAGAAGATCTGTAAAAAAGAGATCTGACTGGGTTTTTTTTATATAGGTTCCAACCCAGGTTATGTTTGTTGGTTTTTTTTAAATGCTTTGCTGTGTCTGCTGATGGGAATAAGGAAGATGAATCCATAAAGGACCTGATGTTGGTCTGAATCTGAACAGCAACTGCTGATTGAACAACAAATGATTGTTTATTCCTTAAGAAAGTACATTCTTCCACAGAGAAAGAGTCAATGACATTTTCATGATATATCATCAGGGGTGGACATGACAGATGACGATAGGAAGCAGCTTTCATAAGGGAGATGATCTGCACCCTCTCCTTGGCACATCAGTTTGCATTCTGACGAATCCAGTCATACAGTGCTGTCACCTTCGTGTATACACCAGGACGATTACGCCGAGCACATCCTTCACCCCAGCTCACAATGCCAGCAAGGTACCATCTATTTCCCTTTCCTGTGCAGGCCAAAGGACCTCCAGAATCCCCCTAAAATAAAGGGAGTTTGGCCATTAGCATATACATGCACACAAACACACACACAGAGAGCACTGTAACAAAAGTTATGTTGTTTAAAAATATAAATAAATATCTTTATATTTAGGTAAATACCTGTCCCTCTCTTTCTCAGATTACAGTTTAATATTAGAATCATAGTTTGTATAGAAAGTACCCAGCTAGATGTTAGATTTATTCAATTTGTTTTAACTTACAGAATAGCACACTAATCAATATAAAACAGTAGCAAGAAGTTGTTTAAAAAATATTATTGCTAATGTTGCATTACAGAATTTCTAAAACAACTTATCTCAGGCTGAGTGAGAAGAGGAGAAGACAGGGATGGGAAGTAGGAATTCTGCTACCGTTTGACCATAAATTGTTCACAGGTTGAAGGCAGAACGTTTCTAGTGTCTATTATATAGGAATAGAAAGATAACCACACAACCCCAGAAAAAAAAAAAAAAAAAAAAAAAAAAGCAAAAAACCCTCCCACATCTAACCAAAAAACAAACCTGGTACAATTAAGCATTATCAGTGTTTTCATAATCAAGACTATGCTTACACTCACAGAGGGAAAGGAGGAACAAGGACTAAGGAATGTATAAATAACTGGCTTCTCAAAGGGAACACGCATCTCTGTGCAGCAATGTAGAGAAGTAAAAATTCCCATTTAGTTCAGTTCACAGGATTGAAATGCACTTGCAGTCAAAAATGCTTTGTGCCCTTCATTGTTTTAACTTTGCATGCCTCCTGTGACCAGCCCAGTTCACAGAACTCTGAGCAGTTATGAAAGCAGTTCATCTCTGCAGCTGTTCCTTATGCATAGAAGGCAGTCATCAGCCTCCAAGTTGAGCCTTCAATTTGTTTGCTGCCTCCAGTTGGAGATAAAACATGGTCAAGGTCAGAAGAAAACCATGTACTGAGAAAAGAGTAGCAATAGAAAGCCTTCATCATCCTATCAAAAATAATTATCTAGAGACAAGAAAAGAACCCAGAACAGTTCTTCCTCTCTCTCAGACTGCTGTCATACTGGCAATTTTGGTAATCCAAGACTCTGATCTCAAAGTGACTTGAGAAAGCAGACCAGTTACATAGGCAGTTGTGAGAGTCCAAAGGGGTTGTATTCTGGTGGAGAGAAAGCAACCTAAAAAGAGGAACCAAGAAGAAGGAACATCCTAGAGTGATAAGAAAACATGGTCTGAAAGAGAAATGTTTAACTTCTCACGGTAAGTGTCACATCCTCAAAATATGAAAGGTATTTGGAAGCTTCACATAACCTTTGCAGTACATGCACAGCTTATGTGTCCCTGAAGAAATTTAAAAAATCAGTCTGGAATAGCAGTAAAAGGGTTTTGGGGTGCTGTGGTAATTTCCTGAACTGCCAACATGATTCCTCTGCAGAGGAAATATACTACAGACTGAAAAGAAAGAAATAGCAAAGGCACTCCTCAGTCTAGGAACTTAAGGGCCCAGAGGGTCAGCATGCTAGGGGCTGAAACAGTGCTACAAACTGGGTTGACCAGATAGCTATATAACAAAATTGGTTAAAATGTCCATCTACAAATTCAAGGTAATTTCTTAAGCAAGTCTTTTAATTTTTTATTTATTTATTATTATTTTTTTAGGAATATCAGGCTTCTAAAACAACATATTTTGCAAAACAATTTCAAAATCTAAGTTTATAAGCAAATTGCACATAAAGTCAACAAAAATAATTCATTGAGTTAGAACTTTGAGACCACAGGAAATCCTGCAAATAATCTACTCTGTAATAAAGAGGTTGAACCCATTAAGAAATAAGATCTTGCAAAATTATCCTATTACATTAAAATACATTACAGAAAAGTTCTATCAAATTACCACAATCTAGAATCAGTAACACATTTCTCTCCCTTTACACACAGTAACTCATACAAGGATCTTGTTTGTAATTTTGAAAGTGGATATTCATAATAAATTAAATCCTAATAAAGTACTCATCTAGTCTAATAACTGAGAAGAAAGACACAACCAAGACAATTAAGTACTTCCAAAGAGCAGTTTCTAGTTGTGTGTGCAGCTAAACTAGGTCATATAGCTTACAACACC